TGTTATGCTTTTACTGATGGTTCTGTGCAGACAAACACAGGTAGAACAGGCTGTGCAATTGTAATATATAAAGAAAAAGAGATGATAGTGTCAAACAAACAAAGGCTGAACAACTGGGCCAGCACAACACAAACTGAACTAACTGGAATCTACTTAGCCACAGACTACCTCAAAGAAAATGGAGGTGGGGTGATATTCTGTGACTCTCAAAGTGCTTTGAAATCAATGAAGAGCCCGTCAGGCTCTATGTCTAAAGTTGTATGTGATATTAAAAGGAATGTGATAACTGCCAATGAGAACAACTTTCGTATCGAATTTGTGTGGATTCCGTCCCATGTTGGAATCAGGTATCATGACCGTGCTGATAGACTGGCCAATGAGGCATGTAAGAAAGAAAATGTTGACCGTGACCTTGGCCTGTCCAATGCTGTAATTAAAAACATTCAAGTCAGAATCATGATCTCTGATCTAGAAGAAGTGAGAACTGCAGAGAGACCTGACAGTTGTAGCATTAGTAAATATGACAAACTTTGTAACAAGAGGTACCGGTATGGCCAGCATAAGGACAGAACCAGACAATGTGATGTAGTCGTGGCCAGAATTAGGCTAGGATACAGACACATCTGGCAAGTTAGTAACGCTGTACCCATACCGGAACACTCAGCATGTAAACTTTGTGATAAACCTTTAAAGCATACACTTGAACACTATATTATTGAATGTGACACTGTCAAAGACTTTAGGCCACCTGACTTACTGTATCTTGAACTATGTAATTACTTCATTGAATCAGGTGTGCTTGAGGACATTCTTGCTGTTTATCCCAAATTTGCTAGCCCACACTGATTAGTCTTCAATTAGAATATGACTCCAATGTATGTGATCCACTGACCTATATATACTGCTAATGAATATGATGTATTTCCTTCTTTGTGTACGAACCTCTGTCCTGCATGGCAGTGAACAGTGGCATTACCCACATGAATCTGACCTATATATAGTGTCAATGAATATGATGCATTCTTTGTGTACGAACCTCTGTCCTGTATGGCAGTGAAAAGTGACATTACCCACATGAATCTGACCGACGTATATGTATGTGTGTGTGCGTGTGTGTATATATATATGTACATGTACATGTGTATGTGTATGTATATATGTATATATATGTATATTTGTGTGTGTGTGTTTACATATATAAGAACATAAGAACATAAGAATGGAGGAAACTGCAGCGGGCCTATTGGCCCATACTGGGCAGTCCCGTTTACACCCAACCCCTATTGCTCATATAAGCATCCAACCTATGTTTGAAGCTATTCAGCGTATTCGAGTTAATGATGATATTTGGTAACTTGTTCCATTCATCCACT